CGAGTTTCCAGAGAGTAAGTGTTTGCTCGCAGTGAGCGATGGCTGTCCTGAGAGGCACACAGCAGATGAAATTAAAGGGTAATTAACTGCAAAGGTGGTCAAAGGAGGGAGCTGTGGTAACAGCACAACTAAGTAGTTAAAGATAAACTAAAAGACGTCAGATAAGAGATAGAGAAAGCATAAAGGGGAAACAGGGAGAAACAGTTTGACCAACAGGTAGATAATACTGACATACGATATAGCCTTTAGTTAAGGAAAAATAGTCACAGAGACGGAATAATGAAAGACCCCATCCTGTTAGATAAGGTCTAAATAGATATGCCCCCAGATGAAGAAATGTATACAGCAAGTGGAAGATATAAGTAAGTGCATTTAAGGGCCAGTACAGGCAGAAGAAGAAAAAAGAATTAGGGTCTTTAAACGGTTGATTTAGGATAACAAGGAGATATGGAAAAAGAGAGGCTGTATTAGATAGGGAAGAGTCCAGAGCTAGATTTGAATACAAAAAACAACAGAACCTCATGCGGAAACTCAATGTAACAGGACGGAAAACTAAAGTTATTCTTCAAACTATGGGTCAAAATAAACCTGTAAATACGTAGTTATGAAATAACTGGACTACAAGTGGGTGATTTGGAGGGAAAAAACTTTATTGAGCTGCACAAAACATTCACACAGACAAAGATACCAGTGACAAAGAGGTACATTCTTTCCCAAAATGACCTCAATAGGTGGCCTTACCTGAAGGAAATTTAGCTGCAAAAAATTGATGTGGAACTCCTGATTGGAGTAGATGCCCCAAAGGCGATGGAGCCATGGCAAATAATAAATAGCCAAGGCAATGGACCCTATGCTGTAAGAACTCTCTTAGGATGGGTAGTAAATGGACCACTCAACTCATCTTCAGCAATGGATAGGTTTGGACGGCCAGTGGCATCAGTGAACCGCATCTCTGTTGAACAGTGGGAAACCATCCTTGTAAACCAGTATCACCATGACTTTCCAGAGAAAGAATATGAGGGAAAACCTCAAATATCAATGGAAGATCGCAGATTCATGCAACTAGTATCAAGTGCAGCCACCCCGAAAGATAATCATTATTACTTACCTTTGCCACATAGTGATGTTATCATGCCCAACAATTATCAGATAGCTGAACAGCGTGCACATTATCTTGCTAGAAAATTTAAGAAGGATGTTAAATATGCAGAAGAATACAAAGACTTCATGGAAGATGTAATCGCTAAGGGCTATGCAGAGAAGGTACCAACAAAGGATCTTCATCAGGATGATGGTAAGGTATGGTACATACCCCACCACGGAGTGTACCACAAATGTAAAAAGACCATCAGAGTAGTATTTGACTGTACATTGTCATACAAAGGAACATCACTCAATAATGAACTCATACCTGGAATGAACTCTTCATGGTTTTGCACTGCAAAAAACTGCAGAGGACAATAAAGAAACATTTGATGCAATAGCAGTTGACGCCGTCAAATCAAACTTTTATGTTGATGACTGCCTAAAATCTGTGGCAACAGAGGAACAAGCTGTCAAACTCACAAAAAATCTCAGCGACTTGTGCACAAAAGGAGGAGTCAAACTAACAAAATGGGTAAGCAACAGCCATGTTGTCTTAGCAGCTATCCCAGAGGAACAGCAAGCTAAGCAAATCAAAACACTGGACCTGGACAGAGAAAAACTACCTGTGGAAAGAGCTCTTGGGATGTACTGGAATATTGAAAATGACACATTTGGATTTCAAATCACAATCAAAACTGCATCTCTTACTAGACGAGCCATTCTCTCTACCGTAAGTTTAGTCTATGACCCACTAGGATTTGTTGCACTCTTTGTACTCTAAGCAAAACAGATTTTCAGAGATCTTTGTGAAGCTAAGTGTGGATGGGACAGTACAATTCCCTGCGTGTACTCAAAACCATATGAGAAATGGCTGACTGAGCTTGGGCAGCTGAAACACAGATCAGCATATGTTTTAAACCTGATAATTTTGGCCAGGTAAAGACAGCACAGTTGTACCATTTCAGTAATGCCAGTGAGCAAGGTTACGGCACAGTAACTTACATTAGATATATCAACAACCGGGGAGAAGTCCATGTTGCTTTAATCATGGGAAAATCTAGAGTAAGTCCCCTAAAAAGGATGACTATCCCCAGACTCGAGCTTACAGCAGCCACTTTAGCTGTACGAGTGGATCAAATGCTACGCTCAGAACTGCAGCTAAACCTTGAAGAGTCTGTTTTCTGGACAGACAGTCAGTCTGTACTTAAATAAATCTACAATCAGAACAAGAACATTTCATACCTTTGTGGCTAATCGACTGGCAGTAATACATGATTTGTCAAAGGAGGATCAATGTGGACTCCAAACAAAATCCTGCAGATGATGCTTCACGAGGATTAAACATCGAATCACTCCTGAAGTCAAAAAGGTGGTTACAAGGACCAGAATTCCTGAACCATGACGAATGTCAATGGCCTCAAAATCCAGATGAAACATCACAGAGATGATCCTGAAGTGAAGAAGGATGTAATTGTTAATACAATGGTTACTGACGTTGAAAATCTTGTCAGGAGACTGACTGAGTACTACTCCAATTAGAACAGTCTTAAAAGAACTGTAGCTTGGATTTTGTTGAAAAAAACCTTGTTGTTGGAGATCACTAAAAGAAGAAAGATACATTCTGGATTGTTGCTGGGTAAGTACAAGTCACTTAAAGAGCGTGCTGAAGCACTGAAAGTTGCATTCAATGCAAATCTGACACTGGAGCATATGGAGAATGCTGAAAGAGCCATATTGGTATTCGAACACCAACACTTTAAGCAGGACATTTCTCTCCTTGAAGGAGGAAAACCTTGCATGAAAGACAGCTCCATACTGAAAATGGATCCAATGCTCGACCAAGGTATCCAAGGATGATCTGTACTCCAGGAGAAGATGGAGACAGGTGCAATATCTGGCAGACCTCTTTTGGAGGAGATGGGTCAGAGAATATCTTCCAATCGTGCAAAAAAGGAACAAATGGAATAATCTCAAAAGGAACTTTCAACCCAGAGACCTTGTCGTGATTGTACATGACTTAGGACGGATTTTACAGACTTTTCCAGGAAGCACAGGACTGGTTCGTAGTGTCTTGGAAAAAAACAAAACCAGTACCCTTCCAAGACCTATCAATAAAATTTGTCTACTCCTGGAGTCGGAGGAATATAAAAAAAAAATGTAATTTCAGTTAACATGAAAAATGATATATGCATTTAAAATTGGCTGTATTTGAGTTGTTTGTAATTGCTACATTTAAGATTTAAGCAATAAGGGCTGGAATGTTTTTTTGAACAATTTTTTGTTTTTAGATTATTTATTTTTCAGAATAGTCATTTGGATTTATTAATTGTTTATGTATTTAGCTGTTCTGATTAACTCAGATTTCGGTCAGCTGTGGAAGGAGGAATAGGTGTGTCTGAAGAAGTCTTTTGGGTCTGAACCTACGGGCGGACACTAATGAGAGAGGACCGACACAGTCTTTAACCTCATGTTTAGTTTGACAGCTTATTTATTTATTTTATTCTAATTTTCTATTCCTTAATTTAGGGTTGCTGGAAAAACATTAAGTGGAGTGGCCTAGCCAGAGTTCTTACCTCAACCTGACTGAGATGTTGTGGCATGACCTCAAAAGAATATACCAACAATATTGCTAAACTGAAGCAGATTTGTTAAGACTAATGGTCCAAAATTCCTCTTGACCGTTGTTCAGGTTTGATATACAACTACAGGAAACGTTTGGTTGAGGTTATTGCTGCCAAGGAGGGTCGACCGGTTATTAAATCCAAGAGTTCACATACCTTTTCCACCGTGCACTGTGACTGTTTACACTGTTCAATAAAAACATGCGACGATATAATCGTTTTGTGGAGTTGGTTATTGTGACTTAGATGAAAATAAGATCACATTTTATGACCAATTTATGCAGAAATCCAGGTAATTCCAAAGCGTTCACATACTTTTTCCTGCAACTGTATACATCCCATTCCACTCCACATGCATTCCTGAAGACTGAAATAAAAAAAATCTGAATTCTGTGTTTAACTAATCCCAATTCTAAGGGCCATTTTACTCCTGTGTTTACTGATGTAGAAAAAAACTTGTACTAGAATTTGGATACTGGACTGAGGCACACATGCACATATTTTAAGCCACACACACAAAGTACATTTTCAGCCTTGTCAGTGATGAGCTATCAAGACATTCTGGGCAGACATTGCCCTCTGCAGGGGAACAAGGACAATTTCACACAGAAGTTGTAACCGCCCCGTGTTTGACTGCAGTGCCACTGTACGTTTTCTTCTGGTCTGAATATTTTTGTCAATACAAAAGAGAGACCAGTCAGACAGGGAAAAAGACTTAAACAGTAATTAAGAATCCCATACTATAATTGTCCTTTTTTTTAAAGTTATATATATATACACATATATAGTATGTATATATGAGTGTGTATATCCAGGGGCACAACTTGAAAAAGTGATGAATTTGGAGATAGAGTTCACTGTGCAAGATTGACAAAACCTAATAATAAAGATTTCAATAGCCCTACTTGTCAAATAAAATCTTTACCTACAGTAAGTCATTTAAATACACATATACTGTAGAACCAGTACATTCATTTAAACTTGGTGAAACAACTCAGCAGAGGTAAGCATGCAGATATGCACTCACCGGCCACTTTATTAGGTACATCTGCTCAGCGGGTGCCACTCCTGTCAGCTAAGAACAGGAAGCTGAGGCCTTACTATTTTACTTCATACTGTGACTTCTGCAGAAATCCCCTGTAATATAGAAACACCACACAGCATCTCATTTAATTTTAACGACCATTTCTTCATTGATCTTCTGAGGCCGTGTTACCCTGGGTTGCCACATTAAGCAAAACAATTTTAACACTGATTTGAGGTGAGACAGCAAAAGGCACTAAAGAAGAACCATTTTATTTTGATTGGACTTTATTTTACACCTTACAGTATTATAGAGACTTGGGATAAGTGTGACATGAGCATAGTTCAAGAATGAAGTGAAAATAAGCATATCAGACAGAGAAAGTGACAAAAAGACCCTTTAGACACTTTAAGCTTTTGGCAGCTTATTGTTCATGAGTAGAGAAAATCCATGTGATTAAAACACACAAATGCAATAACAATCAAAGAACACCCAAATGTGCAACTTCTGATTCCAATGTTTGATAGAATTGTTAAAGCTGGTTATAAAAAAGGACACTATGTGTGTGTATATATATATTTTTATTAAAACAATAAACATCCAAAGTGTTAGAGAGAGGAATACAAGCACAGTAACATTTAGGCAACTTGAAAGTTTCAGTATGAACTCAACTCAAGATAAGGTTGTCGGTGCATTGTAACGTCATGAATTATAAAATTCAAAATATAAAAAGAATCAAATACATCTCGATTGTGAGGGCGGTATCTTACCAGTGAGGAAGTCAAAGTTACAGTCACATTTGAAACATTGTGTCCTATACCTATTGGTATATACATCTTGATATTGACCAACCCAAATTATTCAAAAACAATAAAATATGGCTATTGAATGTTTACAATTGAATTACAGCTGGGAGTAATTTGAAACATCCCATGCACAAATGAGCTCTACAGACAGTGAGATAGTACTAGAAGAATTACATGTTTTGCTTTTTACAATGCAGAAGTTGGTTTACTGAATTGCCCCCCACTCCCCTTAACATAAATTATTATACTTAAAAAGCTTATTTTCAAAACAGAGTTTAAAACTTCAAGTGCATTTCAAAAACTGTTGGCAACTGTATTCCATGTAGTTTTGGTTGCTTTTTAATGGTAAACAAGTCAAACAAAGGAATAAAATATTTCGCTGTTAAAATGTTGAAAACATTTTGACTAATACTGTACATTTTGAAATGATGGACATAACAGATTAAAAGACTGCAATGTTCAAGAATCAAAAGAGAGGACACATTCAATTGAAAATAAATACTTTTGAATTTATTGATGTTCAGGGGTAGAGTTAATGTTGTTTTCTCCACAGATGTGATTATTTCTTTCATCTGATATCCCACACCTATATATATATATATATATATATATATATATATATATATATAGTATACTGCTACCCAATCCAAAGTCACACCTGTGTAACCTGTGAGAGGGTCTGTCACTCATGAATCAAACTCCATCATAATCACTGCAGTGCTAATAAATAACCCTCAACAATTAATAACCTGTGAGACTAGATGTTCCATGTCTTGGTTTTTGATAATGACTTGTGAGCATGTGTGTGGTCACATTAGCGTCTGGGCATATCAAAAGGGGAGGTGTTTTGAGTGGCTGTGGTTATCAAATACAGTCATGGCTGTGCCTTGTAACTTTTTTTTTGGCAAACAGAAGCATGAAACATTCTGCAGACAGTAGCGTTGTTAAGCCCCCGCTCGATGGGTCACCATCATTAGATGCACCAGAATACAATAACTCAAAACAATATGTTAACATTGTTAAGTAATCATATTAAAAAGTTTTAAAAAGAATAACATCTGGAATCCTTCTCCTGTACAGCGACGATTGTTGATCCCCACCCCCCTAGTTGGTTTTGGCAGTGGTCTAACACTTGTGCTTCATGGCAAGCTGTGGAAAAATTGGGGTAGGGGTTGAGAAATAATACAGAAAGAATTTTGAATGATCATCTCAGCAAAATGTTGGGCAGTAGATGTAATAGACTCTCAAAACAAAAAACAAAAGCAAGCACAATATACATAAAAAAGGTACAGATTTCACTATTTTAGAACCGTTCCACAAAAGGAGAAAAGGCTGGAAAGCAGCCAGGGTGTACTGGTGTTTTTTATTCAGGCAATGACAAGGCCACATAATTAATCTCATTAACAAGGTTTCTAATGGGCTCGCCTGGAGGCTCATTAGAGAGATGACCAGGGCCACCAATCTCATATAAAGCTACAGGGTATGGAGACATGAGGATAAAATAAACACTCATTTACACAGACTACAGACTGAGCATGAAGTATGTTGCCGTAGAATGACAACTGAATTCTCCAGATCGAACAAGTGGGGGCAGTAGAGCAGCGTGTAGAAATGAAGGGTCTTGATTCAAACTGAGCAGCGCAGCTAAATCCACTGCTATCACAAAGTGAAGAAATGGGGTTGCAGAAGTGAACTAAAAGGAAAAAAAGAGTCAAGGTGACACTCTCACAGCGCTGTAGACGTTGGACTGGACTCTAATCTGAAGCTAGACTATGTGCAGAGTTCCACTTACAACATATGCAGTGTCAGGAATTACATCTTTATCCGTCTGTAAGACTACTAACTGCTTTTAACAGAGGGCTTCAGACATGCAACATGATGAGTCTAGATGATTATGTGCAAGATAAATGATAAGTTATGAAACATATAATATAAAAGCTAATGGCAGCGAATGAAATGAGAAACGACAGCAAATGAGTGATTCTTCATGGGGGTCCTACAGTCATTCTCTCCTGAAACCAACAGAGCCAGGGCATTTTTCTTGGCTTATCACAGTTTTTGTAATTCATCACGGTAGGGAAGCTCATCTATAAGCAGTAAGAGGGCCATGCATGGGTCTTGAAATGTCTTTCAATTATTACACCATCACTAGTATGACATTATGCATCACTCAAAACAATAATTTCAACAGGCAGTGGATGGCTGCACTATTAAAGTTATTGACATCCCACTTTAGAGGGCACATGTGTATCACCAGACTAGCAGCCTAATTTTATACAAGAAGCTAAGCTGCAAACCCAGGGATGTGTGATATACTGTGTACTATTATAAAGACGGCTATGATGATCATAATCAGGTGCACTCGTGTATTTCTTATAGATTTACCAGTGTAAGCAGCATGGTACGAGATGAAAAGAAAAAGAAAAGTGCCGACTTCTGTTAACTCTGAATTATTTATATTCCTTTAGCCCACCGATCAAAAGAATCAAAACAGCTTTTCATAAAAATTTATCCAGGTTATGAATCCTGTCATGTGAAGTCAATCGCTCTCTGTCTGCTAACTTCTGCCACACTTCTCTCATCAAAATAAAAGCGCATAAGCAGTCCGTCTGAGGTAGATCAAATGAATGACGTGTATTTGATATTACTGGATAATTTAGTAAGTAATATTCTGTTTGAAATAAATAAATAAATAAACTGTTTCATAGTAGCCTATTTCAGTTTTGTGCAAGAGGAATTAAAGACCTGTCCCATATGGACACCTGTCCCAAATATAGGCAGGGTCAATTCGGTGATTTTAGCAAATAAAAGCCTGGGCTATTAATCAAAGTTTTACGGTATTCTACAGCATATGAAGTGGGACTCAAGTGTCAGGATTCCAATGCACTGTATTAAAATACATAACGGTAAACCCACCCTGAGGTTATGCATTGTTATGGGTCTTGCGAACATATTTACTCACCTTGTGCGCAGTGACAGCGAACTGTTCGGCACTGTTCATCATGTCTGCAGTCCTATCTTCAGCCCGACCTAATCGCTCGCCACGCTCATTCAGAGCCTGGCTGGCCTTCTGTACAGCACTCGTCACACTGTCTGCAGCTGAGTGTAGTATACTGTTACCTGCAGATAGGGGTGGGAGTGAAGAAGCAAGAGCAAGCAAAGAGAAGAATAAAAGTAAGGTATGACACAAAAGGGGAGAGAAAAGACAAAGGGGGAACACTTTGTGATTCCTTTGGTGAACAAAAGAACATAGGAGGCCAGCTGTGACAAATGAACTTGTGGCATTAGATGGGTGCAGTTTAATCAGTGACCCTGAGCATTAGTGTTAATGGTGGAAGACAAAAACATGAAAAAGTGGCTTCCATGGGGTGCACCGTGGGAAGGTGGCTAATGAGTTTTCTTCAAAAGGTGATTTACTTCAAGGAAAGATCAAGTGAAATTAACCTTTTCAAACTTCAAAGTACGCAACAGCAACACATGCAACACTGGATTTTCTTTTTAAGAAGCATGTCGTCCCTGTTAAGATTCAGCACTGCCTTTCTTCAGTTTTGAACTTGCAGTGCCACCTCTGCGATTACTCTCCTGGATGTGTGGTTGGCTGCATGGCCAGCCCTGGAGACCTTGTAGTGGATATAAGACAGACAACACATCTTCCGATAACCGTGGCAGCCCTGCGGATGTTTCCTCTGACAAGCCATTAATCTACTGCACGTTGGGAGTGCTGCTGTTATAGGCTACGCTAGCAACCAGACTGGGAACAGCACCTCCCTGCTGCTTTCTTTTTGTCGGCAATACAGATTTATATGCATTGTTCCAGAGGGTTATAATATGTCATTTTGTGTAGATGTATCTGATCTGAGCATGCAAGTTAGGGAAAAAAAAAAAAAATCCGCTTTGTTTTTGAAGTTGTCGCCTGCTGCTCATTTTAACAGCAACCTTTGATTTCCCAAAGAGACTCAAAGGAGAGTTTCAGTCTGTGGTGGCAAGGTCCTGACAAGCAATTTTAATTAAAACACTAAAGTGGCACCACAGTGTTCACAATGTTACAAAAAGACAAAAATCCACAATTACGCTTTCTTGTACCTAACTTTAAAACTGGACAAGTGAAAACTAATAAAGAAAAAAAACAAACAACAATGAAAAGATTGAACAGAAAATAAGCTAGATTCAATATCCCAAGGTCTATATCCTTAGATATATAGTAAATGACTTTGAGGGGAAGAAACAGGCTGAGCAAAGCTTGAAGGTACTGACTGTATTAAGACATGACAAGCTTGATTCTATCTGCACCCACAGGAAACTGCAATATAGTGTGTGTATGTCCCATGGCATCAAGGCAGGTAGGCTGAGTGACAGATAATTGGGACAGCTCTGCTGCAGTGGGATATATGATAGCCCAAAAGCAGACGGCGAGGCCAACTGGTGTTCCTTCAAAGAAGTTAACGCGATTCGAAGTCAAAGTAGTTTGTGTAGAGAAACACCTGTGCCGCATACACAAAGACGGATGTGTAGATGTTCATACCCACACCTATGCACCCAAAAGCGAAATGGAAACGCATGCATTTACACATTGCCTTCAGTCAATTATCTCCAGACCACGATGGGGTCTGGAGATGACAAACACATCTGGACCAATGATGAAATAAGCTTCATACTTGTCAGGAATCCTTTTTCATTTGGTCAAAGCTTGAAATATTAGAATCTGTCAACAGCATACAAGAATGCCACAGTCCACAGCTAAAATGTGAATGTAGTACTTAGGAAATAGGAACTCTGTACCATGTAGAAAAGCAAAGTGCACGTGTAATGATCATACATTATAAATGTAGAGTCTGGTTTAAATTGGCTAAACACATCTAAAAAAAAAAACATTTCTCTGAGAGGCTTCAGGTCTTTACTAGAACAAATAAGACCTTTTCACCTTCAGACAGATTCCTCTTAATCCTCTCCTCCTCCTCCAGAGCCTGGGAGTAAAACTCCCATCATCCTCAATATAACCCCCTCCATGCCATGCACTCAGTGAACATCTTTATTTGTCTGCACACCATTTTTTCCCCTTTCTCTGGTGCCTTTCTTCTCCATTCTCAGAGATCAGTGACGGGCTGTAGCGTGGGCTCCCCCAGCAGAGAATGTAATTACAGAGAAAGCAGGGTGGAGACATTCTGGAAAGCTTATGAAGAGGCGGTAGCATCAGGAGCTAAATGAAACATGATGTTACGTGGTGCCATCGCTGTGATCTAAACTATGAGCTTTAGTGACTCGTAACGTAAAGGGGAAGCTGATCAGCCATCACTGATAATAGTGATGGCTGATCACATGAAAAGCGGTTCTTTTATGTAATTAGGAGGTCCACTGGTATTAATGCAGTATATATTTTTTATATTTATATATAAGTTTAAAGAACTTGTTATGATACTTATGTTGCACTAAGTCAGGAGCTTTTTGTGAAGATTTTATCAACTTACACTGTTGATCGAGAATGAACCACAGTGTGAGGCCAAACCTACAGCACTACATCCATGACACACCTCTCTCAACAATGCAGGAGGAATGTTGTTGCAATACCCCATGTTATTGTAATAAGCCAGGGTTTCGTTAACAATAGAGACTGAACAGAAAGGGCAATGTTGTTTTCAGGCAATAAAAACTTCCAGAAAATAAGAATGTGCAATGGCGAACATAACAAGGAAGGGGAAAGATCATTTAAAGTCAACCCATCCTTTTCCAGTTCTGCTGCAAGCAGCAGATTACAGGCTGCACTGCCGTGGCACTAAAGAAAATAAGCTGATTGTTATCAACAGGAACATGTCAGATAAACTTCACGAGATGTTGTCAGCTAAGTCACAGCAAATCTCAAAGCATATGGGATGGATTAGACTCGATGGTTGACTTCAAGAACAAACACACCAACACAATAAGATCCATTCAAAGAATACATGCTACAATTTCTTTAGTATTTTCACTTCGGCAGCGTATATTACCACTGTGTTAGGATAATGCTGTGGGGTGTGACGTGTGGGTGTTTGAAGGGAAAGAGTGTCCTAGAATAATTTATGTTAAGTATTAGAGAGCACACTTATCTGCACTTCAACAAGTACCATCAAAGATTCTCCCTATTACCCAGATATTACCAGAGGGCTTTATGCTGCTGTTATTCATCCAAAGAAAATATGAAACATTCTGTCAAGGATTTCTATAAATGATCCCAATCCCTTTCAAAGCTTTACCTACATATCTAGAGCCTCTTGCCTCACAAGTACTCAGTTTGGGTCTTCTCTTCCCAGTTTCTGCTATTATGAGACAGGCAATATTAAAACATCATCACTTTTGTTCTGTAGATTTATGACATACAAGAGTGTAAGGTTTTAAAAATCAAGACTGATCTATTCACAGTGACAGAGTAAATCACAAATTCCATTTTCCAGCTTCTAGAAGTTATAACAGAGTCGAGGACAGGCAGCCAAAAAAGGAAACAAGGAAGCGTGTGAGGAATTCTAAAATGGTTTTAAAAAACATTTCTGCATTTAAATTGCAAATCTATGATAACGTCCACCCAATCCACAACTGTATTTCAATTTTGTGTTTCTCTGATAAAAGGACATCTTTTAATTTATGTTCAAATTCAACAGATGGAAGTTACTTACTTACTAAGTTAGTTACTTAGTTTTCTTACTTACTTACTTTCTGAGAAGTGGAGGTATAAAGCTCTTAAGTAAATAGGTGACATAAGTTGAACACAATAAATCATAATGACATGAATGCCAAGGCTGGAAAAATTAAATAAAATAAGGCAAAGCATTCCGCCTTTAATCCTTCTGTGCAATTGCAAAGTTTTTTTATTTAACAAGATTAAAACAGAAATAATAGGAACAAAATCTTGAGGAAAAAAAACAAAAAAAAACAATGTTTTCAATTGCTTCGTTGTTGTGAGTATACATGCTATTTTGCAATGGTCAGTTTACTATATTTTGAAAACTAGAAAGGCAAGTTACAGTAAGCAAAGTAGGCCCTTTAAGTACCAACACCAATTTCAAATGGATTACGCATAAAGGAATGATGTATAAAAGGAGGAAAATCGACATCACAGGGGCCTAAATACAGTTGTGCAGTTCCTGCTGCATGATAAACCCCCGCCACAGTTTAATTAATGCAAATCTTGACATTATCCCAAGCAGCGTAATGAAACTACAGCAGAGGTTCAGATGGGGGCACCTCCCCCCGGCACTCCCGACACACACCTATTACTTCTCAATAGCCTTTTATCCAATCACTTTTCTCCACATTCTCTCTGCAGTTATTCCCTATACAATTAATTCTGCCTTTCAATGGTCACTCCCAAACCTTTCACAAAGGGCATTTCTCCCTACCTCTGCGTTCTTCACAAATCATCTAGCCATCTGTAATTTTGCCTCTTTCCCAATACCACTCCCTCCCCATGAAATATATACTGTATATACACCCTAATGTACACGCCAGTCATTATATCATAGTCTTTCAAGCATCACAATGCTGCTTCCTCCCCACCACCACCGGCATCTTCGATTTGATTAGCATCAGCAGTCATAGGCCGTCTTCATTTTGACCTACATAAACTTAATTGCACCATAACTCAATTGTTAATGTAAAACATATGATCCAGTGCGGAGGTTTACAACAAATGATCCTATTACAAACAGAACTACAGCTGATGAACTTGTCCTACAGATACTCTCGCTTTCTTTGGAGTGAGGTGGACGTGAAGCCTGAATGACTCCTTCAACCCCTTGGTTAACCACTCAGAAAAGCAAGGAGAGACTCTGCCCCTGACATTTTTTCATGAGGGAAAAGACTTGACCTTTCTTGCTCAGGCCTTTAGTTTAGTCACAGTGCCTTGCTGTAGCATTTTTAACCAGCATGACAAAGGGCACAAAATGAGGACAAACATGGACATCCTGTCCTGAATGTACCACTGAATCGTTCCAATACTGACGGATAAACAGCTACTAGGTATTCAGGAACAGCCTACTCTCAGTGGCTTTAATCAGCAGATAAATGTCAGCATCACACAATGCATTAAACAGCCATAATTCCCATCATTATAGCCTTGCCTAAGCTTAAATGTTAATTTGTGAAATGCTATACAGAAGTACAGATTACTGAGGAAACTATTAGGGAAGAAGCACTCATTGCATCATTGCGCTGCCCTTGCACTGTCCATCAAAATGTGATTTACCTCTGCACAGTATTAGTCAGCGACTCTGTACACACAGTGGCAGTGAGGGGCAAGGGCAATGAACATAACTCACATAACCTTTGGATGTAAACTTAAAATCCCCTTCAGCATGTGCTCAACCCCCACAGTGACAACACAAGCCAATGACCTTGTGCTCACTGGGAGCACAGAGATGAAAGCTCTGTGTTTGTAAATGTTAACTACAGTACATCCCTAACAATAACGATACAAGTCCCGGAAATCCCTGACAGCCAGGAGCAGAGCCCTTAGTTCTGAAGGTAGGGGACAGACTTTTCAAAGAGTATCTACTGTATAGTACAGCGGTATTCCAGATGGGGGATACATCTTGGAGATCCTCTACCTCAACCTGACTACTTGTAGAACTCATCAATTGGACGTATTTGTTTAACTTAGCCTGTGAAACTTTGTATACCACCCTAATTTTGTGGAGGAACTCAAGACTTTATAGTAAGGGATATAACTTTTAATTTAGTCCAAGTAGTTTGTAACACCGGCTTACCTCGTCTTAGTAGATGACCGTGGTGTGCAACAAATTCTTTCCTCATTCTGTTCAAATAGACCTTGCAACGGAAAATGACTGAATCTACAGCTTGGTCTTCTGCGATGAAAAAATATCAAAAGTCATAGTCAGCTTCAATGTTGGAAAACATGACAGAGTTTTAAAATTTGTCAAGAGGGGTTACCGTTGTTGGATTATTAAATCAGACGTTAAGTATTGAGGGTTTAGTTGTTTATAAATGTCATGCAAAAAACTGTGGGATTGGTTACTGTTTAATTATTCATCCATCCATTGATTGTAACCCTCACAGAGAGCATTTAGGTTAAGTACAGGGAGACGAGTTTTCCTAATATGCTGATGGTTTGAAAGCATCCACTAAGCTCACAGATTTAACATTTCATTTAGAATGAAGTCACGAATCCACGCCACTGAGGTAGAAAAACTCAGGTGGGAATTGGGGTAATCAGGATAAAAGTGTGGCCAGCGGACCAAGTTGGCACTGATAACAAGGCAATTCCAAATCAGCTGCTTTTATCCCTAGACCAATTACATGCCCCATCAAGGACCAAAAACATGCGGTTGTGAATCTACTCCATTCGGCACATAAGCACCAGTAACAAGGCACATTAATATGGACAGAGATGTAAAGGATGCGGGAAAGAAAGCAATCCAGAAATTAAAAAAATCTCTCCTGAATTTTATTTATATGATTTTGCATCACAATATCAACTCCTCTAGCCCTAATTACATTGCGACTCAGGATGATACTGCCTGATGATAAAATGTTGACAATGGCAGTATTCTTCCTTTTAGAGTACTTAATAATGGTAGTTACTGTATTAATATACACGTCTTGATTCATCGTTCTGTATAAATAAAATGTGACAGTGTATAACCAGAATTATGTGCATTACCTAGCTACCTTTTGTGTTTTTCCGGACAATTCTGCAGATAGAGTCTCCTACAGTTATGGTCCCACACCTGAGCAGCGTCATGATTTTTGTTTTGCACTGGTGTGAGACTTAAACTGGAGTCGACAGAGTTGGCAGCAGGCTGGCATCCTCTCCGTTCCTCCTGTCATAATGTGCGTAGTGAACTGTCAACTTTTTAATCACACGCACACACTCTGCAGTTAAGACAGTGCTACAAGATGTAATTTTCAGATCTATCGGAGGTGTGTGGTTGATTTAGAACATTTGCATTGCATCCTCCATCCTACATCTAAAGAAAACCCGGGTTCAGTGCTCTTCAGGTCATCACTACTTTCCACCTACACATACATAGACTATAATATGCACCCGGGTCAGTTTAAGTGAGTTAAATATAGATATGGCTTTCAGAGTAGGAGGGAGGTCAAGGCAACGTGATTTTGAAGACAAGGGGCAACCTTACCATCAATGAGCAGATAGAGGGTTCCCACACACATGGAATAAGAAGAGCAAAGGAAAATTCACAGTATGTATAGAGTCTTTATACACATATTTCACAGTTTCACTTCTCTGCTATGTACTTTATGTTCTATTATACTAATAACACTGTTTTTTGCATCATGAGTGAAAGCTTTCACTAAGCACATGTTTCAACATTCATTCTGTGACTTGCTGACAGTAAGATTTTATTTGTAGCTTAACACAGTCTGAAGTTCAAAAACATCTATTTGTGGTAATTGGTGATTCTTGGTAGATGGGGTCCATCTGTAACAATGCAGGAGAATGTGATTCCATGAATAATTCCATCAATAACATAACAAGGTGAATGGTTACTCAAAGATGAGGCTTGGGGGTAAACAGATCAATATCTGATTAAACCGCTGAAAATGCTGCATTCTCTACTGGGCTTCACTGTAGAGGAAACCAGCACCAGAACTCTTCCCCCTCCTGGGTAACACACAATTTGCAGCATGAAAATGACCAATTATGCAGTTTTAGATTTACATTTGACGCGTCTAAAATATTTGGTAATTGGTTATGTTTTGACTTCTTTGATCACTTATTAGTTGGGAATGAACGCTATTTTCAAAGGGAGAGGTTAGTTTTCAACTGTAGTTCCATAGTCCCACAGATTTAATATCAGTGTCAAAAATAATTACAGGACTGTTATAGCTCTTACTTGTGTTGATGTTTAATGTTATCATGAAGGGTGGAAACCAATTGAAAGAAATGAGTCTCACACACACAATGAAATGTGTCAACATCACATAAATTAGGGACAATTATTATTAAGTGTTTAGTGCTTTAAACCAGTTCATCTGTGTCAGATGCTTTGAGTCCCTGTTGATGCATTTTGTTGGACATCCTCATTGACCTTAATAACAGATGCTGTGTACAAGGAATAAGCATGCATTTTCATACACAGCAGATGCTGGTTGTCATCATGCATAATCAGATTCAGACTGGTTTATAGCACAGGACGACAGCAGCAAGTCTGGCATTGAGAGCCACTGTGTTCTGAACAAAAATATTAACAAAGGACAGTTAACAGTGTAGTTTTTTGTCTTACCCCCGAGTAGTTTGGACTGGCAGTTGACGAACTCTGGTTTCCGCGCTGAGCTGTAACGCTGGCAAGTATGGTAAAGAATCTGGATGAAGGTGCACTTCTCTCCTGCTGAACCAGCAACCCACTGGTCAAAAGCATTTTCGAACATCAGGTCGAACTCTGGACAGTCCTTGGAGAGAATACCAGTAAGAGTGAGACACGAGTGAGAGGTGAGTGTGTGTCTTCAGGGAAAGAAAACTAAGATCTATTATCAGCGGGAAAAGGGGACACATTTTGTATCAGCAATACTCATTTTAACCCATAAGATTTCCCCTGCATATATTAACTACGTAAATAAATAGCAGTGTCTGAAGGGGACTAATAATGACATACTTTGTTCGGGTCAATGCCGTTGACCTGCCGTAGCTGGTCCATTGTCCACTGTGACCTTTTTACGAAGGCAGAAGATCCTTGGAACTGCTTCACCTTAGTGATGGATAAGTGGGAAGGTTTCTTATTTGTCACTGTGGAAACAAATACAATAACACGCACCAGATAAGATTGTTGCATTATCAACCACAACATTCAATACCATTATATGGGGTTTCTGTGCAGACGCTATGGTTCTTACATTGGGAGAAAGTTCCGATTAGGATAAATGGACAGTTCAGATCAAAAGATGATGAATATTACAGTCAAGCACTAGCTTCCTTTTGTGGGTGGTAGAAACAAAGGGATCCATTAACAATGGACATTTCACCTCTGAAGCCAACAGCAACAGATTTCCAAAGAAACTAATTTCCTATGAGAAGACACAGCCCAACCATGAACACACAAACCCTGTTAACATGGATTTGCCAAACTGTGCGCAATACTCTTAAATACAGCATATGTGCAATGAGTTTCTGTTGTGCTCCAGCTACATAAAGAACATTTTCCCACACTACTGGTTTGAAGAACATAACATGTCGTTATATTGTTCATGTCAAAGTATAAATTGCTGAGTATTTGTTTCCTGTACTTTGGTATGAGGCCAATGTCCTATAAGCTAACAAAGTGTAACATATATGAATCTCTAACTAAGGTGTTTTAAGGTACCAAAACTTCACTGATGTTTGACCCCCTGTCTAATAACATCACATCACATTTTGGCCTCACTCACCTCAGCATTACAGTGCTGTACTTTCACCTCTGTTCCAATGGATTTCTGGGTTTGACCTTTCCCATACAGAGATCAAAACCATCACATTTACTGATCATCGAAGCTCACAGTTCCATCGTGTGTCTGGACAGCTCGATATGTGTTTGTGTGTGTGGCTGGATAGTGAAATCCTATTACATCTCAGGGGAAACATGCTCCTGAGTTGCTTTTTTAACCCTGGCAGTGAACCTCTGCTTCCGCTCTCCCACATTTGCCATTGTGTCATCTCAGGTCACTTTTGAGTCACTTTCACTGCTGTTGCTCTTTACTCTGCTTCTCAACTCCATAAAATACTAGCATCCACGCTGGTTGCCATGTTACACTTTGCCTGTTTAGGTTTGCTTTGTGAAAGAACTACTGCACCTTTCTCTGGGAATTATTTTGAAAATATAGGTAGGGCTGAATGTTACATCAGGTGATACATCAGTATGCAAACTCCCCAGAGAGGAGGGATGTTTGGATATGTTGGAATATGTTTGTGAATCCATTTAGACAGCTGCAGTTAATACTTGAGGTTGCTGGCCCGAGGTTGCAGGGTGGACAGAGGCAGACAGATACAATCCAATCCAAGCAGACTGGCAGTCATTTATTTCTAATCTTTTCTTTGAGAATTTATTTTTATTCAAACAAACAGCCACAGCCACGACAAAGAAATGAATGAGTGATCAGATCTGTTTTGGGTCACACAGAAGGCTAATAGAAGCTACAGAAACCAAAAAATTGCATAAACAGGACTACCACTGGATGTAATGAACCAGTGTGTTGAAGGGTAGGAGTCTAGCAACTCAGGTCATCCACTTCACAGCAAGAATAATTTGTCTCTGAGCCACAGTTGTGGCAGATGATAGATTAAAACACAGAACCACTACTTTCCACAAACTGATAAAGTAGAAATAGGTTTTTGTTGCTCTCGCTTGGTAAGTGAAGGACTGGTAGCGGAGAGATAAAAGACTGACACAAGTACAGTATGAATTCAACTAGAAACCATTTTTCTCCTGCTTCCATCTTACCTACCAGAATCGCCCTATACGGTACAGGGCTGGAACTAATGATAATCAATTAATCTGATGATATTTTTTTAATTAACTGAATATGCTTGGTCTATAAAATATCACACAATAGCGACAAATGCCCATCACAGGTTTTTACAGCCCAAGGTTATGTCTTCAAATGACATGTTTCACCTGACAACAGTCTATACTATTCAACATAACAGATGGGGGAAAAAAGCATGATAATCATAGTAATGAAGTGTGACCACTGAGCCTGAGAGGCTTTGACTGATACATTAGCATCTTCACACTGTCATATCACAAGCTCGGCGTTGAGCCTGCAACAACAGTATAACACTGGACAAATGGCATGAAACACAATAAATGCATATTAAATGACACGTTGCTCACATGGGAAAGAAATTTTACTGCATGTTCTGTCACAATCAGGTGGCACTGTTTGGCTATTTATCTTTTTAATAAAACTACGACATTACTCTGACACCCAACTAGTGAATACATTGGTAAATATGTGAAAGAGACCTCGTCTCAACGCCATGGAGCTAAATCTTCAACACATCAAGATCAAAGTCTTAATCAAACAAAAAAAAAAATCATTTTCATATTCAGCTGTTGACCCCTGCATATTAAACAATTACTGAAAGTTTGAGGAGCTGGCTTTATTGAAACCGAAATTAAGGAGAGGACTGTGAGAGAATGTATACTCAAGCCGTTCTACAAAAATTTAACCTCAAAGTTCAGGTAGCTTGAACTCTCGCACTAAGGGTAGATAAAAAGATGGATGTAGACACATTTTCCCTTCCTGCACATGAACTGGTGGAAGTGGATTGAATATGAAACTCTAATCCCTGACATGCTTCACATTTACAAAGCAAACATAATAATTGCAGTCACACCCTAAAACACAATGTTACAGCGCAGTATACTTTATGGGAATGAGCACCACTTGGCTATATAATATATCTACAAACAAAGACCACAACTACTAAGAAGCTGCCAAAGCCATTGTTTCCATGTGGGCTTTCAGAGGAAGGCCATGCTGGGGTTCCTATCCTGCTCCTTTCTCATGCTCTGATGGTGACATGCGCTCACTTCCTCGGGTGGATCAGTCCCTTGTTGTGCTTGGCTATGAGCGAGCGCTGCCGCCTGAAGGGAAACTCATACTGTACCATTCACAGACTGCGGACATCACAGAGGAAACATTCTCAGGATCAGCTTTCCACAAGGAAATATTATCAAAGCCATGGTTGTTTAGAGAAATATGAGGACCAGGAGGAGTTTTATCTAAAGCAGTAATGACATAAATGATCATGTGAGAAGTGTGCAGATTCAGATACATTCAGGTATTTGTGGAAATCTTGATTGCAGCACTATGAAAACATACATCTAGTACAACCAATGCCAAGGCAAGTACGACAGAACAAGGGTATTCATGCAAAAAATTGGAGCTGCCAACACCATGAAAGTTAACAGAATATGGAGGACCACCCACAAGGGCATAACATTATTAACTTACTCTCCCTTATATAATACAACTTAATTCTCGTGTCAACACTGATGCATCTCAAAAATCCCCTTCCACAAGCCAGAAATATGATATACATCAACATTTTAGGCCATCCGAGAGCGATGTATGAAAATCCAAAACCACAGAATAACAAAAGATCCCATCAGCTATGGAACGTGTAACTGTACAGTCAGGGAGGCACCATGCTGCCTTTGGAATGACTGGTTGTTCCAAGATTCACCCACTACGAAGAAGTGAAGTAACTAATTTACAAGAGAAAGATGTACACAAAGCTGACACGCCAGCCAACATTAGCTGCCATTTTCACTGGATTGCATACAGTGTATGTGCGTGATCAGTACAGCAGCCTCTTCTTATAAAACATTTTTACTTAAAACTTATATTTCCAGGGTGACGAATGGAATGTTTTAAATCTATAACTGATTTGCACATGTATAGAAAGTTATTATTTGTTTTATAACACACTGAGAATTTTTGATGTCTGTAAGCATCATTAAATATGATAACAGCTATGTTACTGCATACTGTGTTATCTGTCATTGTCCGTTTATACACCTGTTATGGATGCTGCACAGGGTTCAAATAAAGTGTTACCAAACATGCCTCTTTTGCTCCTACAAAAAAAGAAAGGTCATTCCCGTGCGCAAGATGATATTTAGCAGCAAGAATTATCTGACTTCAGGTGTCTCGGATGGCAAATATGAAAACTTTAGTAAGCTGTTTATCGGAAATCTGTGGTTGTGTTGCTAAACAGATCTCCATTGATATTACAATTTTTGTTTACAGTTCAAGATTACACTATTTACTCTGTCTAGTTTAAAAGATTAAATGTATGTTTTTAATCATTTGACTCCCATCTGTCCTACTTCAAAGAATCACTTCACAGTCTCCATCTCAACTAGGTTCTCTCAACAATTTAGGGCCCTTCAGTAAGCAGTCAATTGGCTCTATGCTCTGACATAAAGGAGACACGGTTGCCATGAGGATCTCATTTGCATGGCACAAAAGACCCCTGAGCAGGAACTGGCACCTACAGTTCATACAGGGATGGCAAGCTAGGACGGTTCACATGCAGTTTTGACTCTAGGCTGGATCCCAGTTACCAGAAGTCATTCGGAAATCATTTAGACAGTAGGAAATGCTAATGGAAAAAAGTGCTGGGCTACAAAGGACTGTGTACTGTCAGTTTGTTTGGCTTGGCTGAGGGCCAGACATGACCTAAAGGGATTGATCACATGTACATAGAAAAGCTAAACAGATGCATCAATATGAATCATCATTATCAGCTTTATGAAACATTATGATTCTATAAAAGCAAGCAACTCAAATGTTGCCGTTTGAAGACAAAGAGAGAAACACACAAGTCAAAACAAAACATACATTAATGTCAGTATTAGTGTCTTTAGCTTATTTCAAAACAAAAAAGCATGCATGACCCAGTGCAAGTTCAGAAAAGTTCAGATGTGCGCATGTGACTGAGAAAAAGACAGAATAATTTGTTTCTCACTTTAAACCATTGAGAGGCAGTATTAATTTAGTCAAACTACATAGATGATATGTACTGCATACATCACGCCCCCATCTCTCGAGGTAAAAACAACAACCTGAAATAACAGTCCACTGCATTTATGGATATGAGAATGGTTTAGTACCTTGGTAGCAAAGACACCATCTTGTAAGGGAAATATTCAAACTGTTTGCCTTAAGGGTTGAAATTTAGCAACTTGTTTGAGCTGTTGTCTGAGGGCACGTCTAACACTTTTCTCAGTCTGGGTCTATGAT